AGTGGCTCGGCCTTTTCCTAAACCTCATCCTGGACACACTCTACTCTTCACCTTCCACCTTAACTGCTGGGACCCAAGCTGCTTTCTCTGGGAATGTGGGCTTTGGAATGGGTGAACCAAGGCCCTCACAGCCCCCTCGTCCTGGGATTCCCCCAGATCACTCTCTTTTTAGCCTCTTCAGGGATGCCCTTTCCCTTGACATCCTAGGTGAAGCAGCCGTGCTGCTCCTCTCCTACTGTGTGGACTGCTCATGTCTGAGTTCCTGCTGCCTGCAGGCCACACACCACCACCCTTCCCAAATAAGAACCTGCTCTGAAATGGGCCTGAATTGGCTAAACAGACCCTGAGCCTTGGTATGGGCCCCTTCCTTTCCCTCCAGCCTCTGAAAGTGAGAATCCATCAGAACTCAGGGCTGAGTTGCCCAAGTCATTGCCAGCAAGGGACACAAGGTCTCATTCACCTGTCTCATTATAGGATGGAAAGGTCCCAGCCATGGGGAGGCGGGGGGCTCTGGGAATTCTCCTTTCCCATCCTCCCTCCTCATCCATCTGCTTCTTGCTACCCTCCCAATTCTGCCCACAGTACCTGTCACTCTAAAGGGCTCACCTCAGATGCCAAGTAGGGGGAAGCAGGGGAGGATGAGGCAGAGGAAGCAAAGCCCAAGGGTGGTGGCTGTGGCCCTGAGTTGGGCTGTGCCTGAGGACACGGTGGGTGGTGCTGAAATGGAAACACAAGCATCACAACCCTTGTCCAGGCCCCACATTTGAAGAAACACCTCCTCTACTCCTGCCACCCCAGGTCATCCTACAAGGCAAAGGTTTTGTCCCCCCCTGCTATGGGGCAGCCCCAGACACAGGTCCTGGGGTAGGAAGGGAGAGGGGGTGTCCCCTGGCCTCAGGGAGCTCACACAGCTGCCAAGGGGAGCAAGGTGACAGCACAGCCCACCCTCCTGCTGTGGCGGAAGAAGAGGTGATGCCCCAGGGTGGGGGAGGGAGGATCTCCGGGCTGGCATTGAAGGTTGTTTTGATGGATTTCCAGAAACAGACCAAGGGGAGAGGAAAGGAAAAGTAATCCTAGGAGGAGGGAAATCCAAGGAGAAAGGTCTAGAAACACAATAATGCCCATAGTTTTGAGGCTGGCGAGAAATCCACAGTGAGTGGAGCAGAAGCAGGTGCAGTGAGGAAGAGGAGTCAGGAGGGAGAAGGAAGAGGAGGCTGGGAGAGCACAGGGGCCCCCAAAAGGAGTCCCCCTTGAGGCGTCATGTTCTTACTCAAACTCACACACTCACACTCACACACACACTCACACACCCACAAACACTGATACCCACTCACACCCATACACCCGACCCACCACAGACACCGACAGACAAGGCTGAAACTCGTTGGCATCTCCAGGCACTCCCAGTGCTCCCCTGTAATCACCTGTGGGCTCCTGTGTCTTCTCCCTGCGCATCAGGAAGTCTCCAAGCCAGCTCCTGCAGTCTCTCACTGAAACCATCTTCAAGTGCGCAGTCAGTTCCGTGTCCTCCTCCCACTTCTCTTTCATCCGCTTGGCTCCAGGATGAACCACTGTCCATTTTCCGCTGTGTGAGTCAAAGAGGAGGAACTTCTGTCCATTAACGCTGAACTCCCAGGATGCTTTGCTGTGTCCATCGGCTTCACACTCACAAGACATCTTGGCCTGCAGTGTGACGGTTCCTGCCCCAATCAGAAAGAGATCAGCTCTGGTCTTTACAAATTCCCTTTCCTGCCCCACATCCTCCTCCTCTGAGCCCCTTCTCATCTGGCCCTGTTGTCTCCTCCAGGTCCTGCCCTTGCTGCTGGGCTTCATGGAGGCCCCATGTCTAATGTCTTCTCCCCGCACACAGTGCAGCCCCTGAGCCCACAGTCTGCTCCCTTCCATCCTCGGTCTCCTCCACTCACCACTGGGGATGAAATCCTCCAGCTCAGTGCCAGCCAGTTCCAGTCTGAGCGTCTGCCCCACCTCTCTCAGCATTTCCAGTTGTCTTCCCCAGCCATCTGTGGCATTCAGCTGCTCTTCTAGGCGACCCACAGATAAGACCTTGTCAGTGCCACAGTCATAGAAGAGGAAATTCTTCTGATCCACATGGACTTGGACCTCGCACCACTGTTGTCCAGGTCTGGGCAGATGGATGATGGTGAAGGTGCACCAGAGAGAGTGAGCGTCTATGGGAAAAAAGAAAAAACACCAGAGAGTGTTGGGGTGAGGGAAAGACCCCAAACACTGTGACAGCAAGAGGGTTTCCTGCAGGGCGGGGCTGCCAGAGCATGGGCTTCTCTTCCTGGGCAGTGGCCTCTGTCTGTGGAGGAACCATGGGTCGCCAAAGTGTCCATCTCCCCACTCTGCCCAGGCCTATACGTATGTCGGTCAGCACAGGACCTTGCCAGGGAGGTGCCAGGCCTGCTACAGGAGGAAGGGCCTAGATGGCAGAATCTTCGGCAGCAACCCAGGTGGACTGTGGGAGGTGGAGAGTGTGGGAGGGTGCCCTGAGGATGCTGGAGCATGGCACAGTGGGTACGATGTAGTCAACATTGGAGAAGAGGGAGTTTATTTATTATGGGTAACCAGACACAGTAGGTTCCCTGGAACGTGCCTCTCATCTGCTAGTAGGTTGCCCCTGGGACCTTGGAAAAAGGAATGACCCACACTGCATGAAACAAAAACCCAGCTCTTACGTGGCGGGTTGTAGAGGAAGGAACAAAAGGCCGAGAGAAGCGCCCATGCCAGAGTGGCTGCAGCATGAAAATCCAGAACATTGTCCGTCCTCTGTACCCACGGGAAGCCTGGGGGACTCCTGTTTACCCAGCATATAAAGAAGGCCCTGGGAGAAGGCAGCAGACTGTCATGAAGCTCAGGGGTGCCTGTTGCTGAAGGCTGGGGTTGGGGGTAGGGGAGGCTGGTCCCGAAATGGGCGCCCAGCAGTAATGGGGATGGAAAATCCTGAAATAACAGATCTCAAGTGGAGGCTGTCAACTGTCAGGAGGAAGGAGGGTGCCATGATGGAAATGATTAGGGAAGTCCCAATGCCAGCTGGGGACCTCAGCCATACAAAGCTATGCCCATGGCTCATAGAACAGAGGGGTCCAAGATCCAAAAGAGATGGAGACTCCATGCGGCTCCTGATAGACTTAAATAATCACACGAAAGACAAAATGCACGGATGGATGACCTGGAAGCTGAAAGTAGTCACCCCAGGAAATAACCGAGCTCCTTTGCTCAACTGTGACAACTGAGCCACATCTCAGACTCAGAGTCCATGACTAGAAGAAGAGCCCAGAGCCCCTGGTGGGCCCCTTCCACCCACAGCACCTGCAGGGACTGCTTCAGCCTCCCCCTGGAGCCTGACAGGCATTCACTCTGCTAACTGTACATCAAGACACAGCAAATACCCAGAGACGCCTAGTGGACACAGTACGCGACCCGACCTCCTCCCAGGGATCTGAAGCATTCGCTTGCTCCCCTGTTACTCATGAGGTGCATTTGGGGCAAAGTAACAGATGGACACCTGTGTCAGGTCCAGTTAGAGGGATGTGCTGTGCTCATAGACCCGTTCGATGGTAATTTCACATTTCCTGGGTTTGTACCAGGAATGGATAGAGTTTGTAGTTAATTTAGTACCTATTACAGATTGTGCTGGTCACATGACCTCCCTGTCACTACTCAACCCTGCTCTTCGAGCTGGGGTGCAGCCATACACAGTCTGTGATTGAGGAGTGTGGCTGGCCCTGTCACTAAGGCTATTTGACCCCGGACTCCCTAAGATCCCAGAGGCATGTGTGGTTGGAAAAGGTGCTATGTGGATTTCATGGCAATTTCCAATTGCAGAATCACAACAGGGTCCCCCAGTGCTCAGAATCAAGGCTGTGCTACTCACAGCTGCAAAATCTCCTCATTGAAAAGTCACTCCAGGTGTGTCTTTGGGCCCTGGTGGGGATGGGCCTCCCTATGGGAAGGCAGTGACCGCGCAGCCTCAGAGCTGCCATCCCAGGGTGTGCTCCTCTCCCTCTAGGTCATTAGGAAGGTAGGCCTGGCTGTGAGAAGATGCAGGTGGTTCTCCTGGGATGGGCAGGAGCAGAGCCACAGGGAACCGAGAAGCTGCACAAGCAGTTGGCCCTGATTCCCGGACACCACATGGCTGCACCACCTCACCCTCAGCTCACACCCGAGGCTTTAGGGAGAGTTGCTGATGGCCCCGGAGGATCATTGATGCCACTCAGCCACAAAGGAGGGGAGAGTAGGCCCTGAACCATGGGACCCCCACTTCTGAGTGGTATCCATCACATCCATACCACAGAGAAACCACAGGCAAGGTAGGACACACTTGTGAGTCTTCAACTGACACCACTTGGAGATGACACCCTTGGGGATGGGGCACCAATTGCCAGAACACAGCAGGTGCCCTCATCAGGTGTCAGCAACCTAGGACGGTGTCCACACCTGGTCTCCCTTTTATTTCCAGGTTGCTTTGCCTGCTGTTGCTCTACAAAGGGACAGGACTTGACACAGAGACAGAGAACCCATGGCCGGCAAGGACCACAGTACCTCCAGCCTTTCCTTTCTAGAAAGGGTTTGCTGACTTCTCTCTGCACAGTGACTATTCTCTATGACCCGGTCCCCAGTTGGAAGAACAGGCTGGTCTCGGACCCAAGAGCAGAAGTGGGCACCTTTCTTCTCCAGAGTTCCCAGGGTCACCCTGAGGGAAATAGTGCTTCCCGTTCCCCCGCACTAGATTCTGTGGATAGCATGGGATGTATTTCCTGGGATGTGTCCTAAGGCAAGTGGGGAGAAGGTGCCAGTTGGTGGGGCAGGTGCTAAGGGCCCCTTCATGGAAGGGGAGGTGAGGGAGGGCTGTGGGGTGATAGGGCTGGGCTGAGGTGGACAGTGAGAGGATGTGACCTGGGATGTGGCAGTGGATGCTGAGGGAAGGGGTGGGAAGTGTCTGCTGAGTCCCTGTGTGCAGGTGAGTGGCTGCAGGAAACAGCAGGCGGAAGTTCCAGGGCAGGGAGCCCTGGGGGTGCTGGAGGGTTTGTGTGGTGGAGAGAGGGTGAGACCAGAGCAGGGCTGTGGCTGGTGGGGGTGTCTGTCATCGTGTCCCTGTGGACCCTCCCTTCACTCCTGTCCAGACCCCAGCTTGGATTCCAGGGGCTCTGGTGTCTCCTTCCCGAGGGCGGGTGCGGCGAAGGGGCTGCACCAGGAATCCCTGCCCCACCTGGCCCTCTGCAGCCCTCTGACTCCTCCTGTGATAATCTGCTTTTTGTCAGCTGAAACTAACCCTCTCTTTCTCAGACTAAAAGCTGTTGAGGCTTTATGTTAGCTTCTTGAGCCGGACAGACTCCATCTTCGCTTCTCATTTTAGTTATTTTCCCATCAAGTATATAACTATAGTATATTGCTGGGGCAGGCTGACGCTGGGCACCTCCATGAATGCATTTGTTGATAAGAGGCCAAGCTAAGTGGCACCAGCAGAGCCTGGGAATGCAGGTGCAGTCTAGCGCCCAGAGCCCCCATTATCTATAATTTGTGTTTTTCATGACAGTTTTACCCCTCGCACCTCACACTGTTTTATTTCTCATGTACCAGTTGATCTTTTAACTTTTTGCTTACTCTGCTTTTGCGAAAAATTTGCTTCAGCTAGGTTCCCCCTCCCTTTTAAAACTAGGGTTTAAAAGACCACCTTTTTCTAAGGTGCCGAGGGAATTTTGGACATTAGCCACCTCTCGCTCGCCGGCATAATGAAGGACTCATAATTGAATCTCAGAGTTTGACACATTCCTTGACTCGCTGGGGTAGAACACTCCCCGCTCCTGACTTTCCTTTTCCACTTTTTTTGACACCTTCCTGGCCTGGGAGGCAAGCGGCCGCCGTAGGCAGCAGAATAGGCTGAAAGGAGCCACAGAAGGGAACTGAGGGAGAGCACAGTCCTGGGAGATAACGCAGGTCTCCCCTCTTCTGAAGCCGCTGCCGTCCACAGCCGTGCCCCCCACACCCCTCCCCTTGCCCGGAGGATTGGGCCCCGCGGCCCCCAACTCACCAGCCCGTCCCGCCTGGGACCAGCCGGGCAGCAGGAACAGGAGGCGCAGAGGGAACGCGAGGCTGGCGGTTGTTGCCATTGGGGTCCGCAGCGCAGGGGTAAAGAGTCGTGGTCAACGGGGTCCAGAGTTGTGGTCCAGGCGGAGACTGGAGGATGAATGGCCGGGCTTAGAATGCTCCGCTTCGCCCCGCCCCGCCGGCCAGACACACCCAGGGCCAGGGAACCCTCCCCTTCCAGCCCGCCCCCTTGGCTGGGAGCCCCGCACTCCCGGGCCGGCTCCACGCGTGACAGGACACTTCCTGCTATGACCGCCGCATTTAATTTTCTGCATAGCATTTATTATGACACCAATGTAAACACTGACGCACAGGAGGGCGGAGAAACTTGCACAGGAATATTCAGTGGCCGTGGTGTGTTCCTGTCACCGCCTGTGCCAGAGACATTCGCCCTCCCTCCCCGGAGTCCCCGTCCCCGGAGTCCCCGCTTCCGGCAGACACCGCGTGGCCGGCCACTCCCGCCTCGGCAGTCGCCCCGCCGCCGGCCCCATCCCCGCGGTCCCCGCCTCTGTCGCTGGAGTCCCCGCCCCGTGCTCCGCTCGGCCGGCCACTCCCGCCTCCGAAGTCCTCGCCCCGCAGTCTCCGCTGTCCCTGCCCCGCTCCGTCCCAGACGCTTCCCCAGTCCAGAGCGGACCTTCTTTGCTTCTCCACTAAAAGCATGAAGAGGTCTTTGAGTATATTCTACATCCGCTTATGACTTCTGGAAAAGCCAAAAAGAAAAGAACGTCCTAGTGGCCTACCCTGGTCAATCATGTGATCAATTGTGTTTCCATGGAGAGCAGAAGCCGAGGGAGGAGTCTATGCATGTGTGGGGCTCACTTTGCTGCAGGCTGTGGGAGTAAAGTTCCTTTTTAAAGTTTCCTTTCTTATTAGCACCTGAAAGAATAAGGGTGCTAATAACTCTGTTAGGTCCTATCCTATGTAGCTGTTAGACATGCCATGCTTACAGGCAGTAGTACATTCTATGTCCTTGTACTTTAACCAAAATATCTGTGCTGAACATGCTCACAGACATGTCACAGCTCTTCATTGCTTTTAACTGTTTAGAAAAGTTTTAAGTTGTTAGCCAATCGGGTTTTAGTTTAGACTGTGAGGACTAGCTCTAGCCAACGGAATCAGACAATGCAGTAAGGATGACCCCCAAATGGGTAAGGGATAAATTTGTGTTTTCCTTTATTCATTGTACTCTCGTGGCAAGATGGCTAGTGAGAGTACCCTTCCTGCAGTACAGGAAGTAAAAATTGCGTTGCTGAAAGATCGTCTGTCTAGGTGCTGATTTTTCTTTGAGGCACTGAGCATCTATTTCCAACACACACCCTTCTGTGGCCAACCACGCCTAAGCCCGTGGCTGCACCCGCACCTCTGCTCAGTCCCTGGGCGGTCACTGCAGCCATCCTCAAAGGGGCAACACGAGTGTATCCTCATCTCACCATAGAACCATCTAGAACTGTGGGCAGAAGCCAGAGGGTGGTGTGGGTAACCCCCTATATAGGCACCGAGGAAGGAGAGCTAAGCAGAATCCTGGCACAATTAAGACCTGGAGAATATCTCAGTTTATAGTGTTACTACTCAGTTATTTCCCTTTATATGATCTTCTATATATAATCATATATTAGTTCATAGAATGAGTGCCTAAAGAATATATCTTATCACTCAGTTATTTCCATATATATATATATATATATATATATATATATATATAGCTATATCCTAGTTCATAATGAGAGGAATGCCTAGAGCAGACACAGTGCAGCGCATGATTTAAGGGAAAAACAGTTATACCAGGACAAGAACCTGTGGGTATATGGGCCATATGGGCACCGAGGAAAGAGACCTAAGCAGAACCCTGGCACAGTTAGGGCTTGAAGAATATCTCAGTTTATAGTGTTACTACTCAGCTATTTTCTTTTATATAATCTTTTGTATAATCATATATTAGTTTATAGAATTAGGGCTTGAAGAATCCCTTTCTATAATCCTCTATATGTAATCACACAATAGTTGATAGTATGAGTGCCTAAAGAATATTTCCCTACATATGTATATATATAATTATATCTTGGTTCTAGGCATTCGGAGGAATGCCTAGAGTGGACACAGTACAGAGCATGAATTAAGAAATAAGCAGCTTATAATTGGAGGAATGCCTAGAGCAGACACAGTGCAGAGCATGATTTAAGGGAAAAACAGTTATACCAGGGCAAGAACCCATGGCCCAGGCGGCAGTGCTCAGTATCTTAAAGATACCCGCTGGATGGCAGGCTTCGGACAGGAGCCACTCCTCCTGATAAAGGATTTGTAGGACCTTGCGTCCAGTTCTTGGGGAAGGCTGCCCTCAGAGCGGCAATCCCTTGAGCATCTGAGGGCTCAAAACCCCTCTGGATAATCAACCCTCATGACTGTGAACTTCATCAGCTCTTGTTACCGTGCTGCTCGAAAAGCATCTTCCTACAGAATTCATTGGAAGCTGCCAGCAGGTGACCGTAACCCTGACAGCTCTGTCACTGCTGTATGACTTAAAGCATCCTCCCATAGATCTTCTTAGAAGTAGCATGCCCATAGACAGAGGTATTGCACACTGTACCCTCTTCACTGAGCATGACCCACCTCCATGCCTCAGTGACCTGATGGGGGTGGATCTCTTACTGCACACGGCCCTTGCCTTGATGACCTAATGGGAATGGACCCCTTGCTGCACACTGTCCACCTCCTAGCCTAGGTGACCTAATGGGGCTGGACCCCTTGTTTTATTGCTCACGACCGCATCACTATCATTAAAGGCAGCTTCCCTCACTACCCTGCCCCTAACCTATACACAATAAACACACATGCTTCTGGACATTCAGGGCCTCACCTGACTCCACTTATAGGTGGCATGGCCCCCCCTTCCCGAGCCCAGCTGCGTTTTCCTTGTACTTCCGTGTCCTGTCTCTTTGTTTCTCAGATCCTGCGCCTCAGCACAGCATAAGGGACACCCCACAACCCTGTGGGGCCCTCAGCCCTACAGTGTGGTGGGGGGCCCAGTGGCCCCTGGCTGCAAGGGAGGGCTTTGCCTGGGATAAGGAATGGGCAGAGGCCATGAGTCCCCCTCAGCCTGTTCCCCACTGAATGAGAAAAATAGGCACAGACCTTCAACTCCACACAGTCTCCATGTGGTGAGGCCCTGCACCTGGTGACCATCAATCTCCAGGGCCCTGAGGCTGTGGGAAAGGGGAGGAGGCCTGGACCAAGCCCAGGGGTTGTCTCTGCTTCAGGACAAGGTCACAGGATGGCAGCCACCTCTGTGACTGTGCAGGGACACAGGAGCCTAGAAGGTTCTGGCCTGGTGCGCTAGGGCCTCTGTGCAGGAGCGGCCACGTGGAGGGTGGTGTAGAGGACAGCAGACACACAGGGGTGGGCAGTTCTCAGACTTGGGAGGGGCAGAGCTTGGCAGGTCCAGGGATCTGTGTGTGAGAAGAACCTCCCATGCACAGGGCTGGGGACAGGAGCCGGATTAGTCCTGGGAGGAGGCCACTGGGAAGGCCCTGGCAGCCCCACCCCTGAGGCTGGGAGACCTGGGCCAGTGACTAGGGGAGCAGGAGGAAGGCAGAAGGCCAGCAGGAGATTCCCAGGCAGGACAGTCCGATGACAGGAGGAGGGGCCTCTGTGCACACCTGGGCCCTCTGCCTTACCCCTGCTGCAGGCATCTGGCCACCAGACTCAGACCAGCCCAGGATGAGGATAGAAGCAACACAAAGGTGACTGTCATGGCCGTGATCTAGACACGATGCATTCAGACATGGAAGTCAACTGACATTGTGGCTGAATAATCCTGTGCAAGTTTCTTCAGCTTTCTGGGCATGGATGCCCACATGTGGAAAATGACAAATGCTATGAACACAGATGAAGTGAGCAGATTCTACAAGGAACCTGTCCTTGCACGTGCTAAGGACCCAGGGCAGGTCTCCTATTTCAGGTGCGAGCACTGCCGCCCTCCCTGAAGTCAGCAAGTGTCAGGCCCACCTGAGGAGAGCTGGAGCTCTGAGCCCAGGCCGCGGCCTCTTCCTGGCCCTGGGGGCTCCATGAGGGGGTGGAAATGAACGTAAGACCCACTCCTCAGGACTCAGGCATGTTTTTCAGACCCACAGAGGAGGATTTTTCTCTCCATCACCTGGTGAGCCTGATATGATTTAGGGGTGGTTGGAGGCTGAGTGAACCAGTGAATGAATGAGACAGCTGTGGGAGCAAATGGGGCTCAGAGAAATAGCACTGGTGCAGAGGGGAGCTGCAGCGGAGGTTGTAACCCCCAGAGGCCTGAAGGTGGCAGCATTGAGGTTGGAGACCCCATTGCCGGTGCAAGTTAGCAATTTTTTTGCCTTTTTACATTTAAATTTTAATTTTTTTTTGAGATAGAGTCTCGTTCTGTCACCCAAACTGGAGTGCAATGGGATGATCTCAGCTCAGTGCAACCTCTGACTCCTGGGCTTAAGCGATTCTCCTGCCTCAACCTCCTATGTAGCTGGGATTACAGGCGCCTGCCATTCTGCCCCGAAAACTTTTTGTAATTTTAATAGAGACAGGGTCTCACCATGTTAGCCAGGCTGGTTTTGAACTCCTGGCCTCAGGTGATCCGCCTGCCTTGGCCTCCCAATGTGCTGGAATTACAGGCATGAGCCACTGTGCCCTGACACAACTTGGAAATTTGAATGCCAACCTGGGTGTCCACAAAGATTTTCCAAGGAGGAGTAACTTTGGTTTTCAACCAGTCTGGGAGTGCTTCATCAGGATAGAATCTTCTAGAAAATATAGCGTGATGACAGACAGCAAACTGCTCTCTTCAGCAAACTGTTTGAGCCCAGGGTGCAACAGGGCCAGCAAAATCTTGCCTTTTAAGCAAAGAAGGAACGAGTCTGAAAGCAGGAATGGAAACGGGAAAGGTAAGGGGCCAGGAGGAAAGGGAAGGAGAAAAGAAGGGTTGGGGTCTGAGAGGGAGCGGCCTGTCAATTCTGTAGAAAATCACATTTCTAGCCGTGCTTGCTTCAGG